GTGCTTTGGTAGCACTAACAAGCAAGCAAAGACAGGGGCTCACAGCTAAAAACTGGCGCGTCTTATTGTACTCATAACCTATTACGGATTTTGTCCACACATTTGCGTTCGTTCTGGTACCGTAGATTTCCCCACACACAGTACGTACCGTACGCACCCGTTCCATCTATTCGAACGAATCGAGGGGCTATTGAACAAATATCAGACATATTTCTGGTCAGGGGTCATAAATACTCTTAAATAAATTACTAAGAGGTACCGTTATTGAAACCTAATTGATTTATGACCCCTGATTCTAATAAGGTTCATACCGACTATTACTTCTAGTACGGTACGAGCAGTTCCCCTGTGTAAGCACGATGCTTGGTATGTAAGGTATGATTGATTGATTCACAAAATACGGTACTGTACTCGGAAGTAGTATTTGTTACTGTAGTAGTATTTGTTTCTTACAGTAAGCTTACAGTGCCTACCATACGGTACATCAACGATGTTCACCATCCTGCCTGGTTACACGAGGAACTACGAACCCATCGGTACGAACAAATACGACGACTTCGTCACCCATTCGTCCGTTCCCGGAATCCTTGAATCCGGTGTTAATTCTCACTTTTTTCTGTTTTCCTTCAATACAACGAAGATACCGTAAAGTACGAAGCAAAGCAAAGCAAAGCGAAGCGTGCTTGCCTGCCTGCCTGTCTGCCTATCTACCTGCCCGTCCGAACCCCACTCCACACCACTCCACCACCATGGAAAGAACATCCAACCAGAAACGAACAACGATCCGGGCCGCAAGGCGCCAGCGAGGCCTCCCCGCGGTGCTGCTGCTCCTGGCGGCGATGGCGATGGCGATCGAATTCGTGGCCGCGGACAAGGGCGACCCCCCGGGAGGGGAGGGGGTCTGCGAAACCGAAGCGGAAACAAAAACAGGGGCGCGGACCCGGCCCCCGCCCCGGGTCCTTCTCGGAGACACCCTCCGCGACCTGGAGGACCTGGTCTCCTTCGAGGAGGTCCTTCTGTCGAGCGGTGCGAGGACACCGGCGGTTGCGGCGGCGGTCCCGGGGGGGGAGGCCATCGGCCTGACCTACGTCAGGGACCTGGTGGAACCGGGCCTTTCCTCCCGCCTGGTCGGGGCCTGCGACGCCCGGTCGGGCTGGACGGTCTCCCCGCAGTCGGTCGACGGATCGGCGACCGTCCGCGAGGCGAGCCGGACCTCCCGGTCCTGCCCCCTCATCTGGCCGCAGCTCTACCTGCCCCTCCTGGACGACCCGGCCTACGCCTCCCGGCTGGACCCGCTCCGGGAGGAGATCGGCCTGGCCTGGGGACTCACCCAGCGGTTCGGGGACCTCCTGGGGGTCGGGGAGGAAACCGTCGAGCCCCTCCAGCTGGTCCGGTACCGGCAAGGGGAGTTCTACAAGGAGCACCACGACCACGGGTCCTACTACGGGGCGGACACGGAGCAGCGGCCGTGGACCCTCCTGGTCTACCTCTCGGACGCCCCCGGGGGCGGCGAGCGCGGCGGACAGACCTTCTTTAGGGCCCTCGGGGGGGCCGGCGGCGTGTCGGTGGTCCCGCGGCGGGGGGACGGGGTCCTGTGGAGGAACGAGGACGCGGCCACCGGGGAGCTCCTGGAGGAGGCCGTCCACGAGGCCGTTCCGCCGGAGGGGGGGACCGAAAACGAACACGAACACGAACACGAAAACGCCTCCGTCAAGTACGCCATGAACGTCTGGATCGCCAAGAAAAAGATCATGGAACACATGGACGTCTCGGCCTACCGGACCCAGTGATTCAATGGCAAGGCGAAGGCAAAACACAAATACAAACAATACAATGAATACAATGCAACAGAGCAACAGAGGCACACCGCGAGACACGGGAAAGATTGGGCCACACCGGGCCACGCGATCGAGCGAACGAAGCATTCCGTGCGGCAACCGCAGCGCTCCAAGCGATGCTTCGCACGGCAAGAACGAGACGAGACGATTCGATTCGAAACTGTTTCTCCCCGAGAAAAGAAAAAGGCCGAACGGACGGTTCTTGGCTCGTCCACCGGCATGCACCGCACTCCAGCCAGTGCAGGGCAAGGGCACTCACCGCCTGCCGTGGAAATCTCCGGGGAGGCAGCAGCCGCGCGGCGACGAGAAGAGGCGAGACGAGACGAGACCACTCCGTAGAAACCGCACTGCGACGTATGGCAGCACAGCAACCTACTACAATACAATACAAAACAATACTATAAAACACACAACGCAAAAATCTCGTCCTAGTTTAGTTTGCGCGACATTGCACGCCGCGAATGCAAATCTTCCCGGGGGAGGCGATTCCATCCCCCCCCCCTCCTTTTGCCGGAAGGATCCCGGACCGCATTGGAAACCTTCCGCGTTCGAGCGTGCCATCGCTTCTACACCGCAGTTCTCGTGGAGCGAGAAAACAAACCTTGTGGCTCCGGGGAAAGCCCGGCTCTTGTTGCGGTGGTGTTTTGGCGTCCCGCCGTGCGTTTTCCGTCCTTTCGCTCTCCGTGAAACGATAGCCGTCCTTTGGTTCGTTCCTCGTGACCAACCAGAGCCAGGTTTCTGTCCCTTTTTCACACAAAACAAAACGGATCCACCATTTGCGGTGGTTCCCCGCGAAAGGACAGTGGCCAAACAAAACCGGTTCCGATCCGATCCGAACCGTGGCACCGCACCACGACCGGGCCTCGCTCGGGAGCAACACAACACCTTCCTTTCTGCGGTCAAAAATCCACTTTTCCGGCTAACGAGGGAACGCCTGCCCCCAGGGACCACCGGTGCAGCGCGGCCCTCGCCGCCGCCACAAAGAACTCCCGGCCCGCGAATTCCAGCGCCGAGGCGTCGTTCGAGACCGCGGCCAGGACGAGAAAGGGGTCCCCCCTCCGGTGGGGGGCCGCAAAGCCCAGGGCCCGGCCGTTCTGCGAGACGGCGGACCGCACCAGGGAAGGGATCCCCCTGCACCGATCGGACGCGTGGGCAAGTGCTTCCCCCCTGTGGGCCACCGCGGTGGCCACCAGGTCCTCCGCGTCCCGTTCTTCCTCCGGGGCGTGCCACAGGGCCTCCCCGGAGGGGGAAAAGGCCACCGCGGTGGAGAGGAGGACCCGGTCGTGCCTCGAGGCCTCCGGGACGCGCCAGAGGGAGTCGCCGTTGTGGGCGAGGGCGGCCAGCAGGCAGTCCCTGTCGGTCCGGAGCCGGGGGGAGGCCTGCCACAGCGCGTTGTACCCGTCCGCACGAACGGCTTCCAGGACGACCTCCTTGTCGTCGCGCAGGTCCTCCGAGGCCCACGCCAGGGCCCAGCCGCACTCTTCGACCCTGGCCAAGACGGAGGCCCTGTCGTTCCAGACGGTGGGGCCGGCACCGGACGCCGCTGCCGCTGCTGTCGTAGCGTCTGGTTTCTTGGGCCGGAGGCTTCGAGCGATCATGGTTGCTGTACAACAGAATACAACATACTGTACAGAGGGAATTCATCCAAAAATTTCTTTCAATTCTTTCCCCCTTGAGTTGCAAAATGCTGTACAAGACCAGTGTGCTAGTACGCTACGTACTCGGACGAAGTTCGTACAAATTTCAAAATACGCATACTAGAATTACAGTACGAGTACGTACATACCACACGGTAGTGCCGATTGTTGATAGTTGACACCGATGGTGTCAACCATCCTGCCGTTCCTACTCGTACGATTAAGTACGTACCCGTACTCGTAATCACATCCGAGTACAGAGATTCTAGATTCTTCCATCGGGATACTCGTACCGTTGCCTTACTGTACTGGCAAAAAAAGTGAGCATCAATTACTGTACTACTGTAGCTACCGTAGGTACGGTTCGTCGGATCGTCCGAGTCGAGTACGAGTACTACTTCCTCGTATGTATTTTTTCTCTACCGTACCGTACAGAAGTACAGTAGCAGACTTTCTGCGATGGATAACTCGTACTGTACTCGAACGTACGGTACTGTATGCTTTGAATTTTTCGTAGAACTACGATACAGTACCTCCGTCCGTCCGGCATGGGTCAAAAAGATCCCTGGTCTACGTTCCAGGTACTGTAGGTACTTCGAAGTCCTACGTAACGGTGTATTGATTTCCTGGTTTTGAAGAGCACTTTCTCCGACCCTGCCTTACCTTCTCCGAACAGCAATAGTAAATTTAATCGGTCTCGCATTCCTAAAAATACTTGGTCTCAAGTGAATGGTTCTAACAATCCTAAAAACACTTAGTCTCACGTGGATGGTTCTAACTGCAAAATATTCGTATGCTCTTTAGTGTCGTATAACTACGTGTTTAGTACAATAAAGAGTGAGCTTATTGCTGCTCAGATTGAGCTTGTGGCTCATTCACTAACTATTCGTGATTTATCCTCACACCCGCCCGCACTTGCAGAATCTGAATTCTCTGTAGAAAATGTACTGTATCGTAATAGGTCGATCAGAGGATTCAGATTGCAAGTGGAGCAGCTGATTTTGTGGCGTGTGCCATGCTGCTGCTTTGAATGTTGCTGCTGTAACTGGGTGTTAGCAGCATTATTACAGTGTTGTTGAGTGGGATTGGAGCGTGAGTATGTATAGTCTGGTTTGATACGTCCCATGAACACGTCAGTGTGTTCCAGGAATTTAGTTCTTCCTGTGGGTTTGCTCAGTGAGTCGCTGTAATTTTCATCAGATCTGGTCTTAATGAAGTTAATGTGTTCATCATCAGTCCATTGGAGTATAACGAAGTGTTTCATTTCTACATGGCGTGTACGTCTTGTTGGTTGGTGGGCATTTGCCATACGGACTGCACCATGGTTGTCAGCTAGGATTGGTGTTGGTGTTATTTGGGCTATCCTAAGTTCTTCCAAGATCCATCTGAGATATAAAGCTGCTTTCCCAGCATCTGCCATATTCGTGAACTCTGCTTCTGTGGAGCTTTGGGCTATAGTCGGTTGCAGACGTGATCGATAGTAAACTGCAGCTCCTGCAAGCATCATGATAACCCCTCCCATAGATCTTCGTTGGAGTCTGTCCGAGGCCCATGTGGTGTCACATGAGCCATGTATTTGAAGAGGGTTCATAGCTTGGTAGAATTTTGCTGATGTCCGTGATAGGGGTGTTGGTAGGGGCTTGTCTGGAAGGTCCTGCCGTGGCTTGGGGCGCCAATAAGTGAGACCTTCATGTTTTGTGGCTAATAAGTAATGAAAGAGGTGTTTAACGGCCTCATAGTGAATTTTTGCTGGCTGGTGTGAGTGTTGGCTGAGTGTGATAACAGCAATGGAAATATCGATTCTGCAGATGGTTAATGCATATATAAGTTCCCCAATTGCCTGCCGATAGTTAGCTGTGCTTCATGTGGGTCTGTTGAGCCCGTGTCAAGCTGTATTTGTTTCTGATATGCTGCATCTTCTTTCATTGGTGTTGGGCGTTTGCGGGTGTGATACGTGTTGTTTTCAATAAACCAACCATGGTGATTTGCTATCTTTTCGATATATGTTGCACAGTGTAGATGGTTGTAATATCGAGTTTGATCAACATGGATTCCATTGAATTTCCGTATGGTTCCTAGTACATTCAAAGGATTGGTCATACGGGTCTGTATTTGATCTCGTATCTGGTCACAAACAGCTGTGGTCTCATTTGCTATTAGGAAATCATCTACTTGCCGAAGGATTAGTGTGAGGCCAGTATCATCATGCTTATAGTATAAGCATGGTTCGTGTATTGTCAATTTGAAGCCCAATTCGTTGGTTAGGATAGATGAGATGTACTTATCCCATAAGCGTGGAGCCTCAGGGTGCCCCTGTAGTGCTTTGCATATTGGAATAACTTGTCCTGGTTGAATTGGCTCTTTGTGGAGGCATTCAGTCCACCATTGGTGGAAAGGTTCATCCACTCTCATGGAGAAGGGGGATTTTGGTGCAGGGGCTTCTGCAAAAGCATTGCCTACATCATAGCCTATACAAATCAAGTTCAGGGCAGCTGCTAATGCCCATGTGAGGCGATGAATGGGCTGCTCAACACAGGCTGCATATGTTTCTGCCAGTGTAACTGCTTTGCCATATCTCTTTCCTCCATTACACGTGCCTCGCGATTTGGCTCCTGTAGTCCTGTTAGTGGATTTTCTTTTTCAATGTAGGTCCAGACCCATGGAAGGATGGTCATATCCTCTGTAGCATCTATAGGAGTACCAAACATGCCTACTTTGTGGTATCGGTTGAGTTGTTTCCACTCAGATCGAAGGAAGCCATCCCATTGTGGGGTCTGTTGCAGTTTTCTCCTAGTCAGTTTGCTTACTGATGCACGTTCCAGCATACATTCTGGGGAATCCAAAGACACTGGCCATTCCTCTTTGTTGGGCCAAAGGTCCTGGTCGGTGTTGATCGTATGGAGATGATGTGCAATAACATTGAGTTGATCAGCTTGAAGAGTTGGTACACCTTCACCACTGAGTGCAAATCCTGTGAGGGAGCCAAAGGTGAATTTTACATCTGCTTGATGAGTGTCTTTGGCTTGTTGAATGCTATCAATGATGTCTTGCCGACAGGAGATTGGAGTGTCATTGATCTTGGTGATAATGGTGCCTCTTAATCGGCGTTTCCATCCTCTTATTCGTGAGTGTGCCAGTGTACCAACTTGAATCGATACAAGTTCAACTGCATTGCTTATGTCCAGATGGCTACCCACAATGAATCCCATAGTTGGGTGGATTGTGTGTACATTCCGTAGGGGAAGTGTGTGTGTTGTTTCCTTGAAGTAAATGTTGGTAGATACATCCAGTGTATCCAGTTCCGGGATTAACGTGGATATGTCTGGTCTGTTGAACCGGGCTTTGTTGAGCCGGGCTTTGTGTAGGTGTGCTCGGAGCTTGGCTGCTGCTGCTGCTGTGTACGTATGGGGGGAGTCTTTGATTATCTCCTCAATGATGGTATCTGGGTTGCTTTGTTTGGGGTCCTTGAGGTCGAGTTCGATAGGTGTGGGTGTAGTATTTGTGCTGTGTTCATCGTGATTGCCTTCAGTGAAGGTTTCCAGGAGATGGGATGCAGCTGGAGATTGATTGTTAGGATCATCACCATATTGAAGTTCATCTTTGGAATCATGCCGTGCTGTTTTGTCTGTTCCAGTGTGGATATCAAAGTATCGAATGTTATCAGTTGTGGCTCCATAGCCAAGAAAGATGCCGTCATAGGTCCATGGGTGTGTGGTCGTTGGTCTAGTTCCCGGTCTTTTGGCTGTTATTTTAGAGCCAAAGGTGATGAGATTGTCCATTAGGGGTACACGACCAGTGAAGAGTTGGTATGGTGTCATGTGGATGGCGCTGTGGTATGTTCTGTTGTATAGCCATGTGGCATGAAGTAGAGCATCTGTCCAGTATTCAGTGCCCAGCCCTGCCGAATAAAGGAGGCATCTAATGCGTTCCTTTAGTGTCCTGTGGGGACGTTCCGCTAGTCCATTTTGTGAGGATGCATCAGCTGCTGTATGGAGCGTGTCATATCCATGTTTAGTAGCTGTTGATCTGAATTTGGCGGAATTAGCCAGCTCTCCACCACCGTCTGTCATGATGGTACAGTCTGTGTATGGGGGAAATAGGTCCAGTGAGTATTGTCGGTCTTCCGGAGTAAGAGTGTAGGAATGATCTGTAGCAGTTTGACGGAATGTTCGCGAGCGTGCAAGATATCCATCTGCAGTTGTAGTAATGATGGCTTTCTTGGGGTCGCTCTTGAGTATTCCATGTTTTGTGAGGAACCTGTCCACGATGTGAATAGGTGGTTCTTTTGACTTGATTGGGAATGTCCAGAGGGCTCTTGTGGCAGCGTCGATGATAGTGAGGAATCCAATGTGTCCGTGGCGGCTGTGCTTGAGGGTGCGATCTGGTTTCTTGTTGTGGTGTAGGACTTGGTTTAGGTTCGGAGGACCGCTAACAAAAGAGAGGTCCATGTGTAGTGCTTGCATGGGAATAAATTTTTCTTTAGGGTTAGTATTTTTCTTACCAGCGTATTTAGTCATTTTGCTCTTTTCGCAGAAGGGGCATTGGAAGAATGGTACAGCGGACGGTATGGGAGGCATACCATCGACTACCTGCTGTGTTTTAGCTAGAGTTGTAGGGGAGATGTGCCCATACCTCTGATGCCAGAGCTCTAAGGATTTTAGTGCTTTGGACAGACCAGAGGACCATGTTTTTGAGATACGCTTCGGTTTGCTAGAGGCCAATTGATTTACCTTGTTCTTGTACGACCGAAGTTCTCCGTCAATGTCCCGATACTCCTCAGTGTTCGGGAGGAGGACTTGATTAGAGTTGAACCAAAGCCCATCGTCGTTGCGTGTTGTGTGGATTGATTCTAAAGTTTGGTTAAGTTTATTAGTGAACTTTAGTGTCCCTTTGCTGTTGATACATCCTTCCTGTGTAAATGCGTAGAATCCACGTGATTGTTGGTAGTGATCAGGGGAAATGATCGTGCCCGTAGACTGTGGCGTGTACAGTGTATACCAACGCATGACTGTCCCTTGGTCTGATACCAGTTTCATGTAGCTGGCGCCGTTGGCAAAGAATGTGTTTGTATGTGTTGTATTGTCAGAGAACACACTGACCGGTTCTGGCTTAGGAAAGGGGGTGTAATTGTGGAGTAGTGTCAGTTGATTCGTGGCAGACATGTTTGCGCCCGTGTCCGTTTGAATAATATGCTGTTTAGTATCGGTTAGCATTGGTGGTTCTTTGCTATCCGCGTGTTGGTCCAGTTTTAGAATGTATGCTGACTTATTATCAGCTATTTGTATGTGGTGCTTCTGCTGCTGGTATCATTCATATCGCTGGTCTATGTGTGGGATGCTCCAGTGCCAGCGATTCGTTATAGTACATAAAGGGTGTTAAGTCATTGCCTTCTGTTGGGGAAGGTTGATTTGGATTGGTATCCTTCATTGCTGTATGTTCTGGTCTCTGAAGGCAATGTTCGCATTGGGCCATATGAATCGTTGCGTACAGTGTGGATACCGTTGTTAATGGTGAGTCAGTGATATTGGGCCATTGTTTTTGGCGGGATTGGTCCTGTGTTTCAGGCGCGTTATTTTCTGGTGTAGGCGCGGAGGTGTTTGTTGTACCAGGTCTACGTGAGGTACACGCTGTGTTTGGATCCAATGTTGCGGTTTTTCGTTGTTCCTCAGTGGGAACAGGTAGAAACTGCGTAGGGTGTGGTAGGCCTGGTGGGTCCGGCAGCGTGTTGCTTTGGTTACAGCTGTGGTTACGGTTCATTATTAGGGCTCGCAGTGTTTGCTGGAGGGGAATGGTGAGTAGTGGTGACCAAGGCTTGGTTGGTTTGGTCGTCGACCATGGTGGAGTGATTTGTTTGTTCTGGCTGGTCGATGCTGTGTTAATGTGGCTGAATATATCATTATTGTGTGGTTGTGTCCTGGGTGTTGGATAGCCCAGTTTGGTTTCCAGCCCGGTGTGATGCCGAGCCTCGCTAGAGACACGGCTTGTATCCTATTCTTGTGTATTATTTGAGAACATTTGAGCCCATTCCTCCTGTTCTTGTTCATGTTCCATTTGTGTGAGCAGTCTGCMGTTCAGTTTGCTTTCGAAGTGATTTACTACCTTCTGGGTGTTCATGTTATTGTGTTTGACTGCGTTGGAGCGAAAGTCGTCTGGGTCATCCACTGCATATTTTTGAGCAAAGTGGAGCTGTGCACCAAATCGACAGATTTGATCTCCTACATCATGGCCAAATGTGTGGCAGCATTTGCATTGTACTTTGTTTTTATACTCAAACCGTTTTCGTGTGCCAGTACCACTATTTGTTTTGTTCACGATGAGACGCTGGGGTTCAGCTCGATCCACATTGGGGTTCTCTATGATGAAGTTAATCATTGAGGTGAGCTTGAGGTGATGTGGTACTGGTTTGTGTTTTGCATCTTTTGTAACTCGTCGATGGTTGTACAGTTGTGCCAGGAGGCAGCATCCTGCTGAGTAGTTGTAGTGCCGCATCGTTTGGTATACCAGTTCATGGCTTTGTTCAAGTTCTGTGTAGTGGTGTTTGTGTCCCAGCATGCTGTTGCGGACAAAGTTCTGAAGTTTCCCAACGTATGTTCCTGGATCATCTGTTGTTGTCCATTCCGGTCCCCATCCATTCTGTGTGGGTCGGAGGTATTCAAGTGAGTGTCTTGCCAGGGCATAGAGGGCCTCGTAACCATTGCTGTTCAGGTTGTACGGGGCTATAAGGCCTCTTATAAGACTGTTATCTGTGGGGATGATACGAGAGAGGCGTCGATATATGTATGTCCCAATCTTTTGGATGTTGTCTTCTGTTTCTTTGTGGTTTGGCGGTAAGCATGTCTCAAGTTGGGGAAGGTCCGCAAGGGGAACGATGGGAAGGCTTTCCAGGCGCATCATGTTCTGTAGTTCATTGTACAGTGTGGTGAATTCTGTTGAGGTAAGGTAGCGATTTGTCGATGGGATGATATTGTGGTCAAAGTCTTTGTATTCCATGGCATGGATTTCTTTGCTGATTCTGTGGTTCTGATTGTGGAGGAACTCTTCATTGAGAAGGCGTTGTTCAGTGTCTAATACGTTGTGTTTATGATTGGTGTATTTGATGAAGTTAACATCGCTTTTGCACATGTTCCGAGTATTTGCTTGGTACTTTGTTGTGGGGGGAGCTTTCCTGTTGGGATCAGGATTACCGGTGGTATTGGTGGATGGTGTTGTGTGCTGGTGTTGGTTGGGGTCGGCACCGTTGGTGTTTGTGTCGCCACCATCTTCTGGTGTCGGTAGGGTTTCATTGATGTGTTGTGCAATGATTTCCTTGAGGGTTGGTAGTGTTGATATGTACCTATGAATGTTGGAATCCATGTCCTTCCGAAACGTTTCGGAGTTGACAAAGGTATTGACTGTTCGTTCGATATCCGATTCTGCCATTGTTTTTGAGATAGCAATATCTTCCTGTGCAGATGTGGCTGTTGTGGCCAGTTTCTGAGTTATATCCTGCTTGTGTGATGTGAGCTTTTTAAGGTGAGTATCACAGAGTTGTTGCATCGTTATCCTTGATTTTGTGAGGTCCTGGTGTACCTGTTGTATTGTATCCGTAGCTTGTTCGCTGATTTCTCTTTTAGCTTGGGTAATGACTGTATCCTTAAGAGTTTGTACTATGTGGTTCTTATGTTCCAGTTTCTCATTGATCATATCTTGTACTGTTGTTTCCAGTATGTGTGTCTGTTCATCGACTGTCCGTGCTACCTGAGCTTCGATAGATTGGCCCATCTTGAATAGGGTAGATTTGCTTTGGGTGACAATAGTTTCGAGGTGCTCCTTGAGTTCGGTGGTATGCAGTGTGGAAGTACGTGAGGTCATGCTGCTTGCTTCATCATAAATGTTCTGAAGCTGGACAGTCTGGTGTTTGAGGTCTGAGATGACTGTGGATGCTCTGTTAGTACGTTTGTCCAGGGCCCATGCAGTGTTTGCTGCCTCTGTTATGTCCACTTGGAGAGCCGAGTTTACTGCCATGGCTTTATCCAGGGATTTGGTTTGGGTCTGCAATTGCTGTTGGAGGGTTTGTACTGTCTCCATGGCTTGTTGCAGGGCTTCTTTCGTATTATTGAGCTCATCGGTGGTTGTTTTTATCGTTGTCTCCAGTGTGTTTTGCATAGTGTTTACTTGGAGGTCTAGATGTGTCAGTCGTTGAGACCACTTGGCATTGTTGGCTTCCAGTAGTGCTTCCACAGTGGATCGTGATGTGTCGGTCAACGATGAGTGGGTCTTGGTCGTTGTGGTAGGTGTATCGAAGCTGTCCTTAATAGATTGTAATTCGTTGTCTATGGCTTCATATTCTTGTTCATATTCATTGATCCGGACTGATATGTCCTCACTCCGTGTCTTGTCTTCTTGTTGACGTTCTTGGGCGAATCGTTTCTGTAGGTCCCTGGGTGTGATGGTTTCAGTGGAGTCTACTGATTCATTATCTTTAGTTTGATCATCTTGGTTGGATGAGCTGGAGTCTGAAGGTGTCGTTGCTAAGTGAGGCGGGGGTCTAGAGTGTCTTTTGGATGTTATAGTTTCCGGTGGTGTGGATTGGTCTCTAGGGATAATCGTGTCCATGTGTGCAATGAATGCTTTGCTGTACTGATAACGTAAGAATAATGTAGGCGTGTCCTCTTCCGAGGGGATGTGGAAGTGGTTATGATGGATGAGTTCCTTGAGGTTATCACCCAATGCCGCAAGTTTGTCAGTGTATTTCATCGTGGTGGAATGGATAACTTGGAGGTGTGATTGATACTTGAGTGGTGTTGGAGGCCTCCGTGGTTTGAATGGGAATAGGTCCTTGTTGTCATATACGGAGGGTGTGGATTCTTTGGGGAAGATGAGTTCGAGGACTCGTATTTCTCGTTGAATTGATCCATGGTAGTAGTGTAGCTTGAGGTGTTGCTCTCTACTAGCTGTGTCGGCCCTGGTGGGTCGTGGGGATCTAGTAACCAGGTATTTGCGGATCGGGGTATTGTTGCCGCTGTTACTATGACGGCGCCCGCTTTGTTTAGTCTGTTTACTGGAGGGTTTCGGCATGTTGTTGCTTTGTATTGTGACAGTGTTGGGTTTCATGTTGCTGATGGTGTTTTCATATCTTTCATGTTACTAGTGGTGGTGTCGTCGCGGGGTTGACTTCACGTTGACTTAGTAGTGATGTTGGCAGCTGTTCAGTCCTTCTGTTGGTCGGTGACAGGGGGTGTCAAGGGGTTCGGTTCTGGAATTTTGTCGTAGGATGTACGTGGTTGGATACTGAAATCCGTGGTCCAGGCTTTCGTTTCCCATTTTCGGTGCTGCTGCCGGGGTGTTGTCCCCTTGTGGGGTCGTGTCGTGTTGTTATTACTCAATTTGGTGATAGTGTGGTTGATGAGGTGAGGTATGTGTCCTTTGTTGCTCATAACCTGCGAAATATACGTATGCTCTTTAGTGTCGTATAACTACGTGTTTACAATAAAGAGTGAGCTTATTGCTGCTCAGATTGAGCTTGTGGCTCATTCACTAACTATTCGTGATTTATCCTCACACTAACAACTGCCATTCTTTGCTCCAGCGCATCCGCAACGCGCAGAAACGTCAATTCAACAGAAACAAACGATTGCAACGATCAAAAATATCACTGGATTCTGTAGGGGATCTCCGGAGAAGACGTTCCCGTGAAAAAACTGTCATAATATCATTTTGAACATCTGCGTGTCTCATTACTAGATTTCAACTGTAATCTGCTGATAAAAGTTCCTTGCAATCCTTCGAGACGATTCACAAGCCCCGATCACACAAGCCGTTGCCAATAGCATACAATCCAAATACGGAACAGCGCCATTTGGGACTACCAAGAAACCCGCTACCGACACCATTTGTTTCCTGGCATTAACTAAAATAGCCTGTCTCACGGAAGGAAGAAGACAACCCAAGAGATTGTAAAATTGTACCAACATACCTCTCCAGATTGAAAATACTTGAGCCTTTCGAGAATTACGCACACTAGTGAAAATCAGTGAACAGAAACAGTCGCTCGGTCTTCGCCATCATGACATCGTCCTATTACCTCCCGCGTAACGGCAGGTACAACAAATACGGCCACGATCAGAGAGCACCAGAGCGTAAACCCTACGAATACAGTGGCCGGGCGAACGGGAACAGAAACAACGCGATGGAGAGAAACAGAAACAGCGGATGGATGTGGTTCTCTTTTTGCCTGATGGTATGGGCACTGTCCCTTCAGTTTGGAGGTGTGTTGCGCGCACGTCCATCCTCCCGAATCCCCGCCCAAGACGGGTTTGATCCCCGCCCGGGGCAACAGCAGCAACTACCACCCTCTATGGAGCAACGACGCCGTATTCATCCGCAGCAAGCGCGGCGAATGCATCAGCAGCATCCATCGCGGCAAATACAGCAGCAACATTTGCTAGATAACAAACAACAAAAGCGACGCAGAGCAGAGGAAATCTCGGATACCGGGGAAATCATTCTCGACGAAGTTGTCGTCACCGATCCCCTGGAGGGCTTTCGAAATTATTCGAAAGCCGCTGATCCCGACAAGGCCTGGGAGAACAACGAGAAAATTCAGACCATCTCGTCGATGGAGGGCAAACTCCGAGCAACCCTTCTGCAGAAATATGACAGGAACTCCTACCCATGGGAGTGGGCCTGGGACCAGAACTTTTTCGAGGAATACGACCGTGAGGGTGAGAACGAAGGAGACAACAGGACGGAATCCTCAAAAATCCGACAGGGGCTGCCAGTCGATTTCGGTTTGAATTTTCACAAAGGTGAGCCAGTATGTATAGTGTTGGTGGTCGGTGGGTACTTCGGTTGAAATGATGATTCGATTTGATTCTACTATGCAATGCAATGTAAAGCAAAGTCACTTTTTCCTCATCTGTTGGTTTCCATTGAATCCAATCCAATGCAACACGACGCACCGCAACACAACGCCAAAAAAGTCCACGATTTGGACGTTGCCGAATCGACAGCCGATCTCGTTATCTGGGTCCGCATTTCTTGGGTTGACCCGCGCCTTGCCTGGGACCCGAACGACTTCAATGGGCTGAAAAACTGCTGGTTCTTCGTGACCGATGGCATTGGCGGTGGGGAGGTCTCGGAGATCTGGACGCCCGATATTTATCTGTGGAACCAAGAGGACACCATGGCGAACTCGCTGGCCAACACGTACGCAATCGTTTCGAGCGACGGATCGGTCTATTGGAGCCGACCGGGGCGCCTCAAGTCGACCTGCAAGTACCTTGGGCTTGAGAATTTCCCTTTTGATGATCTCAGCTGCGCGCTAGAATTTGGGAGCTGGGCCCATTCGGGGCTCTACATTCGGCCGAGCAAGCTTGATGGCACGGGGTACAGCATAGGAAACAGCGAAACGTCCGGGAGCTCCTTTGTCGAGTTCGAGATCCACGATGTCGAGGTCGAGAGCGTCGTTTACCCGCCGTTTCTTGCCGCACCGGAGGAAGACTGGCCTGTCCTGATCTATACCCTCACCTTTAAACGGGCGAGCGCACCGTATCTCCGCGGGGTGCTCCTAACCAACATCTTGCTGAACATGGCGGCTTTTGCCTGCTTCTGGATGCCGCCCCACGTCGGAGAGCGAATGGGTCTGGCCATTACCTGTGTGTTGGCGGCCGTTGCGGGGGAGCTGGTCATGGCATCCAACCTTCCCAATTGCTCGGAGATGTCCTGGTACAACAAGTTCATGTTCGGGAGCTCGGGCTTCGCCTTATTGGTCGTCTTTCAGTCAGCCGTCGTCATTTACTTTTTCTTCTTGACCAAGGACGACCTGGTGCCCGGATACATCAAATGGTTGAAGCGGAAGCTGCTCAACGAGAAAAAGAAAGAGAAATATTCTAGCGTGGAAAAAGCAAAGGACCAACACACCAATGACATGACCCAAGACGACGAAGAAGAAGACAATTTCCCGACGAACTTGAACCGAAAGGCCAGTATCAATTCGGTGGAAGAAGAGGAAGATTCCGATGCCCAGACCCAAAGCCCCGAGAACGAGAGAATGTTCCAGCGTCCTAAACTCTTGCCCTCCCAAAGCGAAAAAAGCATCGACATCTTTCAGTCGACGACAAATAGAGCGCGAAGACGTGTTACCTTGAATCTGAACGACTCCATGGTCAATGGTTCGACACTCGCGCAGTTTCTCCACACTCAGAACGCTCTCACGGGTGATACAACGCCCCGGTACCGCGACGATGCCGAAGACGATGCCGAAAAAGAAGCCGCTAAGGAGAGGGAAAACCAGAAACGTTGGATGAAAGTTGGCGAGAACATCGACTCAGCATGTCGTGTAATCGTCCCTGCTGGTTACTTGGCCTTTCTGGCATTGATATTCAAGGATACTGGTCATTTCGAAGGATTTTACAGCCTTTTCAATTGAATAAAGCAATGGATGTGTACTCGACAAAACGGAGCTTAGATATGCAAATTGTGCGACGAGAAGATGAATGTGTTTAGAAGTTTGAAATTACTAATTGTAGAATTATCATCCTTTTGTGCCATCGAATTTAGATTTATGTGTCAATAGTTTGCATCGATAATGTCGTTCATGGTGCAAGAACTTTTCTTCGTGGCACTAGTCTAAGCCAGGAAAGCAGTAGCAGTAGCGTACAGAAAATCATATCTAACAGATCCTGTTGGAACTACTTGGTGTTGAAATGGTGCACTTCCTGAAGAGTTTTCTGTGGACAGCATCCTCCTCCTTGTGGCCCTTTTGAATTGGTGGCAAAGTAGCATGATTTGGTGGATAGCCATGCAGTTAAATTGCTCCAGATGAAAATGCACACGAGCTACAAATAGCTACAAATATTTTTAGTACTGGTTGTACTTTTCAATCTCATGTGTCATCCAATAATGAGTTGGTATGAATGTACACTTAACAGTCTAGTAGTAAAATGAAGTAGATTGAAAGGGTTGAACAAGGAGGAGCACTGGTGTCAGTACTACTTCCATATTTTTCCAATGGTAGGAGTTTGTCATACAAGCAGAAAAGGAGGCTCTCCTTCCTTACAAGGCTAGGGCATGACCCATTCAATTTGCAAATTTATGGCTTCTTAGTCATTATTAGTATTAGTTGGCATGGAATCCACAAACCTTATTTCATCAGATCTTGCATGGATCACCATGGTTTCATCTATCTAGTACCTGCTGTATGATAAGGAGCAACAAGGAACTAGCAGTGCTCATAATGATTCATGTTCAATGTTCTGCCAATTGAGGTAGAAAATATGACCAAGCTCAGAAACTTCTCTGTCACTAGTAGTTGCTATTGCCACATTTTTTGTTTTAGTACAAGTAGTTTTCAACAATAATCCATGCCAAGTCAAACCCATGATTTTCTGATTCTAGTTTACGGTACTACTACTAATACCTTGCCTCAGGTTCACCAAAGAATCAAACTCAAGTTTTTCATTTCTTGGCCTTCACTTGAGTCAAAGTTTGAGGCGGTCGTGATTGGTAGTGCTACTAGTTGTTCTTTTAGTTTGCATTATATGAAGAATTCCCTCACGTTAAGAAATCAAGTGTCCACCATCAAATGACACATCCATGGATGTTGGTAGGTGGAGTGCTGGATACAAGACCCCAAGAGTTTCCGATCTCTACTTCAAACCTCTCCTCTATCCGAAGTTCTGGCACTATGTCCGCTGCAATACTTAAATTTTCGTACTGAATGAATGAGTAAGCATAAGAGTAGACGTCGTGACGACAACAATTGTACAGTATTATACAAAATTATAAGCGATTCAATTGCCTGTATCTATCTCTATATTTGATTGAATCGAATTGATTTCTTCGGATGTGTTATATCGATCCGACAACGCTCTGGGAGCTCCCTCTTCGAGTTGTGATTGTCGTTGTGGCGTCCTGCTGCTGTTGTTGTTGTTGCTGCTGCTGCTGCTGCTGCTGTTGTTGTTGTTGTTGTTTCTGTTGTTGCTCCGTGTTTTCGTTCGTTGCAATTGTAGTCAGGACTAGTGTGGTGCGTTGGGAGGAGGGATCGATCCAAAATGCAGCCGTTTCGGTCGAGTTGTTCGAATCGGGACCCTCCTGGAAGGGCGCGTCCCCGCCTACCTTGTTGAAATCTGCCCACTCGCGCTCCAGGTAAAAGGGGTCGTGCTGGGGAACTATATCTTCTGATGCGTCAGCAGAGCTATCGTAGCCCCAGAGGGCTGCTGCGTGGTCGGCATCTTCAAGTGAAAAGTAACCGGTTTCGACGCGCTGGTCTTGCTGATGGTGTCGAAGGGCCTTGCCGACCTTCTGGATGGCATCCTTTTCTGCTTCTTCTCTCTCGGCCCGCTTCTGTTCCTGGAAGGCAAGATAACGCTCGTAGATGGACTCGGCATCCTCAGTCAGCTCATAGTGCTCTTCCCAATCGGCACCGTACTTTTCGGCAAGCGAATTTCGATACCGCTGGTAGATTACCTCCATTTCATCGAGCTGCTCGAGGGTCCAGTAATCGTTTGGATCGTAGTCTTCCTCACCCTCTTCTTGTTCGTCGTCTTGTTCGTTATCCTGTTCGTAATTATTCTCGTCCTCCAGTCCTTCGCATTCCTCCCCCTCTTCACATTCGTAGTATTCCCATTGATCGTCGTCCTGTCTTTGGTAGACTTCCACTTCTACGTCACATTCGTTGTGTTCGCATTCATCTTCCTCGTAATAGTATTCCCACTCGCCGTCTTCGCATTCGACGTTTTCGCACACCTCATCAATGACTTTGGAAGATGTAGAAGAATATTCTTGGCCTGTGGAAGGGTCTTCATCAACATGTGTACTGCTACCTCTAAGGGCGTGAACAACGGGTGAATTGATAATGCTTACGGAAAGGAGGGTTAAAAGTAGGAGCAATGACTGTGGACCCAATCGCTTTCTAGATCCAGTTGCTGTTCGTCTGTGTACAGATGTCATCTTGTTTTTCTTGGTTCTGTGAGAGGAAAATGAGGAAGAATTAGGTTGCGGTGTGTGAGAGAGTGTATTTTTGGGCATGATGCCGCTGAATTGCTCTTCTCTTTTCTGCGATTTGCAATCGGACAACAACGCGGAAAATCTCGTGAAACGATTACTGGGTGCGTTCTACTGGTAACGAACATGGAGTTGATGAAACTCGGCAAGGCGCAAAAAAGTCGTTGGAAATAGTACGAATAAGCGGTACGTACTCGTACTAAAGAGGCTGCCAGCCTAGCCACTGCCCGAAAACTTGTTGGGTATGTTCTGTTTTACTGTAGTACCTCCTCCTCCATAATGTAGTTCAATTGTCCTCAAAGTCATTGAAGCACAAAGGAAGATTAAAAACCCGAATCAGTACTTAAGAGCCACCTCGATAGAAACCGAATGGGATTGATCGTTGGAAGATTACGTTAATAATCGAATAGATCATGAGATTCTTCTTTCGAGTATTGCAGGAACGGTGGACATAGTCATTGATTGATTTTATTCTGTCATGATAAATCGTACTAGTCAAAATAAGACTTTTTAAAGTACAATTCATTAGTTTCAATACAATTTGTCGTTACGGTACCACTCAAAGAATTGAATACTTAGTAGGCCCATAAAACTAACATATTTAATTACATAACGTTTTTTTAACCTGATCTATAAATAAACTCGGAAATGCTATCGGTAGTTCCAATTTTTTGTTCAATGTGGTGAAAGTGGATTATTGCACCCAAAGAAGAAAAATCGCCTTCCTGTCAAGAAAGCAATAATATTTGAAGTAGTAATACGAAGGGGAAGATGCCTCGGGTCGGAAAAGGATGAAGTGCGAATCTTGGGAAGAATTTCAACTGAAAAGTACTGAAAAGTTGTATCAAATACCCGTACCTAGGCAGAACAGTCACAGTAAACTAGCATACTGCAGATATCATAGTTGTACTATGAAAATGGTTCCTATCATTAATTTAAAGATGCCATCCTTAACCCTGTGCAACTCAGTACAAAATGTACTGAGGTAGGATGCAACTACTTCACTGATACAGCTGGCTGAGAGGGGCATGACGATCCAAGAAGAAGGACAACAATTTCCAAGGCTGAAGGACAGAATCAGGTTTGAGGACCATGGGGACTGGAGAGTTCTCTTGAACACAGGAGTGATCTTGTTAAAAAATTATCAGACCAGCAGCACAGTACTACTAGGCAGCACCATCAATCAGATCCTTAATGTGTTCATGCCCAATGAGGAACACAAAGAAAGGGGGTTCTTCTCCCATCCTACAATCATGGCACCAACAAGTCCTCCCATTACAGTGATCAAGGAACAACAAGTGCTAAGCACACTTGCCAACAAGTCAATTAAGGCAAGACACCGCACAGCAGTGTACAAAAACACAGGTGTTGGAGTAGTTGCAATGAATACGTACGTACCGATGAATCGTTACGTACGATACGAAGCTCCGAAGAAAGGAATGAAGGATCATACCATTCMTACGTACCTATCGTAAGGTACGATTCATATCTATATATCATAGGATCCTTCGTAAGAAGTCCGAGGATCGTAAGAGGTCCAAGATA